CATATTCAGGTATAGTCCTTCTATACCTTTTTGTTCAGGGGTTTTTTTATCATGAAGGGGTGATTGATTTTGTTGAAAGCCTTTTCTGCACCTATTGATATGATCATATGGTTTTTTACCTTGTTCCTGTTTAAGTGATGTATTACATTTATTGGCTTACATATGTTGAACCATCCTTGCATCTCTGGGATGAAACTTATTTGATTATGATATATCATCTTTTTTATAATGTGCTGCATTCTATTTGCTAAGATCTTATTGGGGATTTTTGCATCTATGTTGATTAAGGAGATTGGCCTAAAGCTCTCTATTTTAGGTGGGTCTTTATCCAATTTTGGGATCAGGATGATACTGACTTCCATAAACGAGTTTGGGAGCACTCCATTTCTTTCAATTTCTTTGAAGACCTTGGGGAGTATTGGAGATATAACACACTTAAAGGTTTTGTAGAATTCATCAGTGAATCCATCAGATCCTGGGCTTTTTTTAGTTGGTAGATTATTAATTACTGAGTCAATTTCATTGCTTGTTGGGTTGTTAAGTGTATTTATGTCTTCTTGGATTAGTTTTTGGTTGTATGTGTCTATGAATCTATTCCTTCAAAATTTGCTAATTTGTTGGAGTATAATTTTTCAAAGTAGTTATTATCTTCTGGATTTGCAGTGAGTGTCTGCTGTGATTTCGCCTTTTTCCATTTCTAATTGCATTGATGTCTTTTGTTTTCTCTTGGTAGTCTGGCTAGGGACCTACCTATTTTATTCATTCTTTTGAAGAATCAGCTCTTTGATTCCTTGATTTTTTTTGGCACTCAATTTCATTGATTTCCACTCTCATCTTTATAATTTCCCTCCTTAATTTTGGATTGGGGCTGGTTTGTTCTCAAGTAACTTAAGATTTCTCATAAGGTTGGCCAGGGATTTAGCTCAGTGGTTCCGCCACCTGCTGCGGAAGCGCAAGGACCTGAGTTCAATTCCCGATACCAAAAAAACCACAAGATTTCTCATAAGGTTATTTATTTGAGCTTACTCTGTTTTCCTAAGGTGAGCACTAATCAATGAATTTTCCTCTTAGGATTGCTTTCATAGTATCCCAGAGGTTTTGTTGAGTTGTATAGTCATTAACTTCCTGAAATTTTTAAATCTCTTCTTTGATTTCTTTTTTTTTTTCCTTTGATTTCTTCTGTAACCCACTGGTGGTTTAGGAGTATATTGTGAATTTTCCAGGAGCTTTTGTCTTTTCTGAAATTTCATCTGTTGTTGATTTCTATTTTCATTGCACATTGGTCTGATAGTATGCATGGGATAATTTCAATTCTTTTATATCTACTTAAGCAGGCTTGTGGACTAGTACGTGATCTATTTTGGAAAAAATACCGTGTGCTGCTGAAAAAAAAATGTATACTCTGTTATATAGGGGTGGAATACTCTGTGTATATCCATTAAGTCCATATGTTCAAGGGAGTGGTTCAGCTCTGAAACCTCTTTATTGGTTCTTTGTTTGGTTGATCTGTCTCTGCAAAAGTGGGGTCTTAAAATCCCCTGCTATGATTGTGTTAGTGTTTACTTGATCTTTTAAGAAGTTTTTGTTTTATATAAATAGGTACTCCAATATTTGGTGCATATACCTTTATCAGTGTTATCTCTTCTTGTTGTATTTTTCCTTAACTAGTATGCAGTGACCCTCTTTGTCTCTTCTAATCAGTTTTAACTTGAAGTTTACCACAACTAACATTAGAATTTATATTCCTGCTGGTTTTCAGGGTCCTGGTGCATGAAATGTTGTTTTCTAATCTTTAATTTTTAGTCTATGGATATCTTTCTGGATTAAATGAGTTTCTGGAATACAAGAGATTGTTGGATTCTGTTTTTTGATCCAGTCTGCCAGTCTATGTCTTTTAATTGGAGAGTTGAGGCCATTGAGAGGTATTACTGATGTATGATGCTTACTTACTGTCATTGCCTTCTTTAACTGTTAGGTGTATTCTTTATTTCTTTTCCTGATGTTTTTTGCTGCTCTTTATCCATTGACCTCATTAGTTTCCTCTGTGTTTTTAGCTGTGTCTGAGTCATTGTTTCTGTTAAGAATATTCTTAAGCATTTTCTCTAGAGTTGGTTTAACACTCACATATCTTCTGAGCTGGTCTGTTTCATGGAAATACCTTATTTCTCCTTTTTTTGTCTTTTTTGTGAAACCAGGGATTGAACTCAGGACCTTACACTTGCCAGACAGGAGCTAGTGCCACTGAGCTAAACCTCCGGCCCTCTCCATCTATTTTGAAGGACAGCTTTGCTGGGTAAATTAATCTGGGGTGGAAGTTATTTGCTCTTGGAGCTTGAAATACTTAGTCCAAGCTCTTCTAGCCTTTAGGATTTGGGTTGAGAAGTCTGCTGTGACTTTAAATGGTTTACCTTTATATGTGAGTTTTGTTTTTCTCTGGCTGCCTTTAAAATTCTGCTTTTTTGCTGGACATCTGTGAATTTAATGAGGATATGCCTTGGTGAGCTTCTTTTTTCATAACTGCTAGGTGTTCTATAAACTTCACTTACTTGTATTTTAAACTCTCTTTATATTTGAGAAATGTTCTTCCACAATTTCTGTAACCACATTAGTGAATCCATCTATGCTATTTTCTAGTTTTTCTCTAACTCTGATTAGGCTTAGATTGGTCTTCTTGTTGTCATCTAGTAGCTGCTGGCTAGTCTTCTCATGTTCTCTTATTTTCTTTTTGACTTCTTTGAGCTCTTTATCATAATTCACTCTTTCATCCTCAATATCAGATACTCTGTCTTTACATTGGTCATTTCTTCAATGTGTGAATTCTATACTTTTGGGTGGGTACTGGGGATCAAACTCAGGACCTTGCGCTTGTGAGGCAGGTGTGGTGCCACTAGCTAAATCCTCGGCCCTCTATACTATTTTTTCTTTGAAGCACTTCCATCTGACATTTTTCAAGGATTCCATATCCTTGCTGAACCTATGTTCAAATTTTTGAACTGCTTTGGTTAGATCATCCAGTTTTTTACCTATTTCCCTGAAATTCATCATGGGCATATTTCTTAGTGCAATTGCTATAAACTTTTAGTTCATTTCCTCTTTGAACTCATCTATTTTCTTTATCCCTTTTAAGAAATTTTCATGGATTTCTTCAACCTGGTATTTGTTTCTTCTCATTTTGTGAGCCCATGCTCTGCCTTGGGAGTGTTGGGGAGGTTTGAGGGTCTTTTATTTCCTTGTTTCCCCATTTTCTTATGTGTATCTGTGTGTATTTTTTGGCCCCGTTTTTTCTTCTCCTTTTTGGGGGAGTGGTGTCTTACTGCAAGTTGGGAACTTGCAGAGAAGTGAGGACAGTTTGTGACTTATATAGAAATTTTTAGTAGGATGTTGCCTCCTCATGAACAATTTTCAGCTATGCATGTCCAGTGCTAGTATTTACTCCTTCTATTATTTACTTCAAGTGATTTTGATCTTTCCCTATGTTTTGCTGAAAGAATTGCTTCTATTTATAACAGCATCCAGAGGTTCAATCTTACAACACTTCTATATGATAGCCCTTGCAGTTACTCTTCCCCTTTGCCTATTCTCTATGCACACTGTGAGAGTTTATTATTGTGGTTGCTCTGGAGTGAGGTAGGTGAGGTGGGGCGGGGCGGGGAGAATAAGAGGTGTCTTGATGAGTAGTGTTAGGCACTAAGGGGGAAGTTTGAAAGGGAGACCAGTGGTGGATGAGAAGAAAAGACTGATGCAGGAAAAGACTGATTTTATTGGAGTACTTTTAGTTGAGTTGAAGGTTTAGCATTGAGAGTTTTCAGAGGCTATTTTGTGGGGGCAAGAGTAAGGTATGAGAGAAATGGGGTTCACTTTGTGACTGAGGAAAGCTACATGGTTATCAGCACTTACTTATGGGAAGGAAAATAATCTAGGTGAGTTACAGAAGAACTAAAGGTTTAGGATCGGGAGGATTGAAGAATTATACTCGTGAAGATAGGAGTGACAGAGAGGGCTAAGTATGGTGAATTTCAAAACTTGGGAGGAAGAGTTTATGTGTTTGGAAAAGAACAAAGAAATATGTTAATAACATTGTCTCAGGGGTTTAAGGTGAAGAAACTAGATAGGGAGCTGAGACAAGGGAAAGAACCTAGACACCTATTAAATCAGAGCCAATGAAAGAACAAATATACATGCGTAACAACCTAATAAACACATGAAACCATAAAATAACAGAACATAACTCCATGTTACTAAATAACCCAAGAGACATAAAAAACTGTTAAACCACTAAGATGTCCCACAGGACACAGATTAGATATTCCAATGAGACATTGCATGTGATTCCCAAGTAGCTTCTTTGCCTAATAGCCTGAATGCCCACACCTCAGTAACTCTTCTAATCACTCTACTGCAACACTGAAGTCAACTCAGACTCAGGACTTCTTTCTGCCACACTGCAGGCATTTTTGAAGAATTTGATCCAGTCTGAGTTCTTGGGTTAGGAACTCTTGCTATGCCTCTTCCTGGGTGTGATTGTGGACTCAGCAGATAGGTTTACTGGCACTAAATTGTCCACTGAGTGAGGATTATTCCCATGCAATCAAATCAGCTATCAGAGTAACAGGCTAATCCATTACAGTGGTATCTATGAGGGCTGAGATATAACATACCATATGACCCTGTTTTGAGGCTCCCTTTAGCAGTAGGAATATGGCGCCAGTGGGACCTTCCAATCCTGTGTGACTCAGGCTGAAACTGATGTCTGCCCACAGGAACTGAGTCTGTGATTACCAGCCCTCCCTCTCAGTAAGACTTCCCCCAGTCTGCTCTCTCACTGCTGGAAGTCTCCCATGACTATCTTTCCTTCATTCACTCTGGGAACTTGGCAGTGTGCAGCAGCCAAAGATCTGATCTGGGATCAAGGTTCAAATACCCAGCCCTTCCCTACAACGGCATCCATGAGCTCCTACTCTGCGTGACTGTCCTCAGGTTCTTGTACTGCAGTCACTCACCAACTGTTGACTCTGGAGTGCCACTTGGGAAGCAGTGTCTCCCATTCTTCCTGCTATCTCCAACTACGTAAGATGCTTCTGGTCCCAGTGTAGTTCTCTGTGAACAGAGAAGTTGTTAGTTTCACTTTCCAAGCCAGCCCTTTTATTTTTTTATTTTTATTTTTTTGAGACAAGTTCTTTCTTTGTAGTTTGGGCTAGCCTTGCACTTGGTTGGTATTTAGCCCACGCTGGCCTCAAACTCACACCAATCCTGCTGCCTCAGCCTCCTGAGTGCTGGGATTACAGGTGTGGCCACCACACCTGACTTTCATCTTTTTTTAATTCCCAGAAAAAATTCTTTTCTTCACACTAGAAAGTGGCTTTGAAGTTAAAATTTTTCCAAAAAATAAAATTCCAAGCCACAATGGTTTCACTAGCACATTCTACTAAATATTTAAGGAAAAAATAATACCAATTCTACACAATCTTTTCCAGAGAATAGAACAGAAGAGAACCCTTTCCAAATAATTTCCAAAGGTCAGAATTACCTTAATATCAGAACTAAACAAAGATATTCCAAAAATATAAAACTACAGACTGTATTCATCATCAAATATAAATAAAAATAATCCACAAAAACAGTCTATCAAGTTTTTAAAAATCAGTTATACAACAGATCATACATCACCGTCAAAGGTAATTCTCTTAGGAATGTAAGAGTGGTTCAATATTCAAAAATCAGCCAGTATAATCCATCATAGAAACAGACTAAAGATCAAGGAGAGCCTGGAGTGAAGTATTTCACACCCTAAAAGAAAATAACTTCCAACCTAGACTGTTGTATCCTGCAAAATTATCTTTTTTTTTAAGAGCAGATTTTTTATTAACAAAACACAGTTTAATCAAATTTTTAAAATAAAGTTTTAAAATATTAAATCTTTTCTGTTTTCTGTGGGAGTAACATTAACACATTTTATATCCACAGTACATGGTAAAGTTCATTTCAATAGATTGTACCCACTCAACTTCAATTTAGATAAATTAATATGCTAAAGGATGAACTGCTTTGGCTTGAAAGTTTGCTCCAATTTTTTAAGAATTTTAATTTATTTACTTATTTATTTATGGTTTTTTGAGACAGGATCTTGCTTTGTAGTGCAGGCTGGCCTTGAACTCACTATGTACTCCAGGCTGGCCTCGAACTCATGGTGATCGTCTTGCCTCAGCCTCCCAAGTGCTGGGATTACAGGCGTGCACCACCATGCCTGGCATGCTCCAATTTTTAATGTTCTTAACTCAAGTAAACTATAGTTGGTCTCCTCTGGGTCAATTTTAGCTAAGCACCACAACCCCTAATGATGCCCTGAGAGAGATTTATAACTACTTCTAATTATATTGTTTTGCCATAGTTATACATATTAATTTCAATTGGTCCACAGATATATACCTGAAATTCATAACTACATTCATTTTTAAATCTTTTTCTATGTATTAATTAGAAGCAGATTATGAAGGAATCAATGAAGGGTTTTCCTCATTAGTAAAAGGAAAACCACTGCATTTTAAAGTTATTTAATTATTCAAATAAGCATTTTTCTAGTCTTAAGCAATGAAGTCTTCTTTCAATTGTAATGTAGCTGTCAAGTTTGGGCCTTACACTATATTACAGTTAAGGAGAACCACAGCTTTTTAAAAAATTAATTAATCTACTTATTTTTACAGTACTCAGGACAAACACAGGGCCCTGGCACTAAGCTACATCCCCAGCCCTTTCTAAAATTTGAGACAAGATCTTGCTCATCCTTGCTCTGCCCAGGCTGGACTAGAACTTCTCATCCTCCTGCCTCAGCCTCACGCCCCCATTGGGTTTACAGGTGGGTTAAAACAATTCAATACAAATGTTTCCTTCTATGCAGTAAGAACTGTTACATCGCAATTTATAGGCAAGAAAAACTCAACTATAACAAAATTTGTTTTCTTTGAAACAGTTTTTACAATTTTGCACCCAGGGATGACTGTTACTTGGTAAAACAGTCTCTCAATTCAAAAGCCATTACACCAAACAAAGAAATGTGTCTACTACTAAAATCATTACAATTAAAATTGAGCAAAAATCCAACTAAAACCACAAATACTGATATTCTGAGGCTCTGGGATTCAACTCAAAGGAAGTAGTCTTTGACAGCAATGACAACAAAATCAAGATGATCTTGGGCAGTGGAGAAAAGCAGAGCTGAAGAGAAGAGGCAAGGTGATGTGTCAAGGTGTGTCATGAAGCGACAAGGCCATCAGCCACTTTCTCCACAAAAATCTGAGGCAGCAGAGCTTGGTAGTACATACTACCTTGATTCTCTCCTCTTGTTCCCTTACTTGGATTCTTTACGACATCATCCACCTCTTCCAGAACTAACTGGGGCTTCAAGAGATGAGTGGGGTGTGAGTTCAGAGATCCTGGCTTCAAGCAACCCCAGATGGGAGTCGAGGGACCCTCAAAATCTTGCTGTTGATCTCTACGGTGAGCACGGAAAGACCTGCTCATAGCCTTCGAAGTCCAAGGACATGGCAGCTCTGGAGTGATGGGCCCGGGCTGCAGCCTAGGTTGGGAAACGGGATCGCTATCTAGGGACCCCGGCAGGCACACTTAAGATCAGAGAAAAGAACCGGGAACAGTTCCCAGCCCGGCCACTTCCTGGTTGTCCTTCGCAATCTCCTATCCTCCGGAAATTGGGCTGGGCGTGCCTTTTATTTTCCGCTCAGGCTTCAATTGTGAGAAATACCCTAAGGAAAAGCATCTCAATTAGCGCCCCCCAAAAGCCTAAACAGATATTCATGTTCTCAGAGGTCACTGAAGCATACCATCCTCTACGTTCTGCGAAATGGCTTGACAGACCCAACCCACAGGTCATAAGCGCCTGCTTCCTGGGGAGAAGCTTGATGCGGGGAACCTACCAGAGTGGCTGTCTGCAAAATTATCTTTCAAAATTGATGGGGAAATTAGATATTTCCACGACGAACACCTGAGAAATTTCATGAACTCCAAACCAGCACTCCAAACAATTCTAAACAATATCCTAGAAAAAGATAATGAAGGTCACAACTCCATGAGGTCCAACAGAGGGAAACCACTAGGCAAGGTAAGAAACTAAAGAGAAAAGCGGGGAAAAAATAAGAAATGAAAGAGCCAACAAATAGTAAAACATCATGACAAGGATGAGTCAATATCTATCAATTATAACTATCAATGTTAATGGCCTCAATTCACAAATCAAAAGAAAAAGACTGACAGAATGGATTAAGAAGCAAAATCCAGCAATATGCTGTATACAAGAAACACACCTAACTCAAAAAGAAATTCATAGACTGAAAGTAAAAGGATGGAAAACAGTTATACACGTGACAGGATCCCAGAAAAAAGCAGGTGTAGCAATCATATTTGCAGACAAAGTAGATTTGAAACCAAAACTAATTAAGAGAGACAAAGATGGTCACTACATCCTGTGAAGGGAACAGTCCAAGAGGAAGAGATGACAATCATAAATATATATGCACCAAATACGAATGCCCCCAATGATACAAAACAAATATTAATAGACATGAAAAACCAAATAAGCAATAATACAATTGTAGTGGGGGACTTCAATACCCCACTATCACAAATAGACAGATCATCTAGACAAAAAATTAACAATGAAATTCTAGAACTGAACCAAGATTTTGAACAAATGGACTTAGTAGATGTTTTCAGAGTGTTCCACCCCCAC